ACATCGGCTTGTGAGTGACCATTTCCATTATGATTACTTTCATATTCTGGGATATTACATTTGCACCGCCAAAGCATATGTTTCACATTTTCAAACAGTTTTACACCTAGATCTTCCTGTCAAATTTTCATTTAAATAAAGACGTGTTGCTAATAGCTTTTCAACATATACACCCTTCGTTTTTTTCCAATTGAGAAGTCAGTTGGCTTGATATTTGCCACGTCAAACTCCTGAAATGTGGTAGGGAACCAGGTTGTATTTTACTTGTTTTTTCGGAATTTGTCAGAAATTTACCATTTATTTTTATATTTGACAAAATAAATCTTTTCTCTGTGATAGAATTGTTCGCTGACCTAGGCGAACTGTTAGGCTCAGTAGTCGACTTGAAAACCGGTGAACTACTAAAATTCTGTTTTGCAGTGAAGACGTTTACAATATCCAATGAAGATAGTATAAAATAAAACTTGCCTACTCAAGTTGGTTTTCATGAGAGACTCAACTGAATCTCTCGTTTATGATATTCCACAATTGAACGTGCTGCACACAGGTCGCCTTATGTTCCAGTTGGCACGATATTCGATATGTGTCAATACATGTATAGCCGTATTACACTACTCATTCGGTTGCTTAGAAACATTATGAACGAGAAAAGCAGCTGGATTCCAAATTAATCTCTTTCGCTAATTTCGTGCAAGTTGTGTTCAAGTAGAACAAAATGTTGACGGAAACCCGAGGAATGCGCCTGTCTGATGAGCCCCAAGAAGTGCGAAACCGATCGTGGGCTGCCGAAGAGTTTTCAGCAACCTTGTGAGTAGTTTCCTTTATGCAAATATACTGTCATATCTCAAATATCGTGCCAACTGAATCATGAGGCGGCCTGTGTGCACCACATTCGGTTGTAGAATATCATAATGGCTAACTTTCGCTTTTTTTTTTAGCTTATTTTGCACCTTATGCCAAGGAAATCGCAGCTTCTGTGGTCAGGTTTCTACCGAGATCTCCACACGAGCTATTTAATCTTACTTGATAATTCCACCATACATTCGCTTAGTCCGCCTATGTTCTTTTGACCCTTCGCTTGTTTTGTTTATCTGTACCCGCCACTCACCTCGCTGAAAAGGCCGTCCCGCCCCACACTTCTGTATCAGTATTTCTGTGTGTGAATATGCGCTGCTAATTTACCCATGCGTGTTTCGCTTGCTGAGCCTGCCTTGACTTGTTTTCCCATGAGAAACCATGACAAAACGAGTTCCATGTGATCGCACCGCCAATGAGGATCACGAGGCTGTCGTCGGAATGGACGACCGCAACCTACATTATTGACCCAACATTCTTGCCGTTGTTTAGTGTGCGAACGTTGACACTGCGCTGTGCCGGTCGGTGGCAGACTTATGCACTTCTTGACGCTACTAACATGAATTATTGAGGTTTGTTGTATACATTTGCTTACCCTTGTGTAAATGGTACCGCAAAATTTCGACCCCCGTTTTTTCTTTTGATATTCGGGATTGTCGAGTCGGGAGACTCACCATGAGTAACCAGCCATGCGTGATCAAAACGCCGGCTTATAGGGTGCGAAACTGCTTGCGTGTTACTAGAGGCGTGCACGAAAAAGTACATTTTTTTCAAGGAGTTTACTGCACCCGAAATACAATAAGGTGGCCAATGAGTTCTCTGGTGTTTGTACCATAATGGAGGCTACGTTCAGAATAAGCACTGCTTTGGTACTGCGTCATAGAGTCACCTAAATCCGGGTCACAGACAAGGGCAGAGTTTGGTTTTAGCAAAGTTATGTTAACAAGGATTTGAAAATGGAAGCATTACCTAACTGAAATCATGTAGACCGCTGAAAACGTGAAAAGTACAAAATGATATTTTGTTTGCTGGATTTAATAGTGAATATGAATTTCCTTCAGTGAATTCACTGCACTCAACCTCTATATAAAGCCTCCTGTCTCTGCATTGAATGTACTGGTTTGTAAAGGTGGTGAGCGATCAAGCTTTACTGAACAGTATGGAAAAGATTTCATTCAGTGGACCATGAAAGTTTTATTTCACCTGGTATCTTTTTATCTCGATATGATCTACCAGATCCATGATATAAAGTTTTGTTATCATATATATCCATGTGCTGTTCAGATCTGATTTAATTACCTCATTATACCTCCCCGAAGAATCATTTTCTTGGCTTTAACTTCTGCGGTTACAGTAGCCCTGTTAACGTGGTCAAATCAGACGTGTGAATAAACATTTTACGATAAACAGCTTTGAATTTCTGTCCGGCTTGATGATAGTCGATTTATACTAATGAGATGACCTTAATTAGGCAAATGTACACTAACAATCTATTTTTACGACTCATCAGCGAGAAAGGACGCAGACCTATTAATTACTTCTACCTTACGGTTAAGTTGCGCTAGTTTGTGACCATCTGAATTCTCCGGTATTTTCAAATACTGGTCTGGAAACTGTGGGCTGTAAAAGCACTCACGCTTGTTTTTTGGAGTTTTGATAAGAGCAGTCAACTCTCTACTTTCAAAACAACCTAATTATCCTCCCCAAACACGGCGGCTTTAATCAATTCACGCGCAATTATTTCAGTTCGGATGAAGTGTTACTGCAGAAAATGAATAGGCTCAGCCAAAAAACAACCATATCGTCTGTCACAAATGACAAAATTCAAAAAGTGACAAAGATAAAAATTCAACATATTAGACAACTGCTGATACAAATAACAACAGCAATAGTTTTTTTCAGTTTCCCGTAACTGGTCAGAAGTATAGCAAAGGTCACTTCTCCTCCTAACTGGGAAAATATGTTCCCTCTGTGATAACAACCTTTAAGGCTTGGTTGACATATGACTAAAGTAGTTACAGATAAATTTTCCGAGCTGTGTCTCCGTTTGTTAATTTTGTGATGTTTCCCAACGGATTAATGGAGTAATTAAGTAACCTGAACAGTAAGGTGTGTAGCTTTCTAATGTGCAACACCGTCCCAATCTGTGGAAAAAGTTCAGGGCAGATAGACTTCCGTACTGAACAGGTGACTCGGATTTTTGATAAACCAACAGACATGTTACGCAATCCTAGCTCGGGTTGTGAAAAATGACGTAGACTCTAGGCCTGTTGGTCTATTCCAGATGCAAATACCTACCTTATATCGACACGTTCCGCTTTTGAACTCTTTGCTTTTACTGCAGATAAAATGTCAGGTAGAGTTACACAATAAATAAGCGATAGAACAATTATCTGTGGGTTTTGTGTAACAGACTATGAAGGACAGCAAATAGTTAGTCATCTCTGTGGAGGAAACAACGAAGAGTACCTTGCCTTTTTGCCTTACAACGAGGTGCATATGCTCTCTTGAGAATTTTGTGGATCTACCACACCAAATCTTGTAAATGTGTAGGAGACAGCTAGAGAGGTGAATAGAGTATGAGTAGCAGACGATGACCATTCACCTATAATACATCAATAGATGGAAGTCACACTGAAGGGTACGCTCGACTTCGAGCAGCTGGTAGGCATTTTTGTCGATAGAGTTTACCTAATTTACATAAAAGTCAGCAAAATTCCATTGTGTAGTCTAGTTTTCAGAACTTAAGGCTGTTTTCCTTTTTAGGTTATACACGAACATCATAAACTGTCCTTTGACTTCCGCATTCAGTTTCAGTACCTGTAGGAAGAGGAAATTTGTGGCTGATGATTTAACTCAATGGAGAAAAATTCGTGCCTTCTAAAATGGGCAAATTTGCTCAGGTGTTCAAAAACCAATGTTGTGCGAGAAACGTTGGAACACGGTCGAACTGGTCAAACAACAACTTTGGTAAACCCTGGAAACGTGATCTATATGTTGTTAGTTGCAATGGTTCATTTTACATCATGGAGCTCCAGTTGTTTTGTGAACTATCACCTCTCCTTGACTTACTTTACACAGCGCTTCACTCTCGGAAAAAGAATCATTTTTCAAGAGAACCTGCTGACACTTTGTTTGCATGTTAGCTTGACCCTTCTTCGCACAAGCTATAGAATTTTGCGGTTTACTGTAACCGTCCTCGGGATAAATTTGACCTAGTCAGCCTTAAGGCAGGCAAAACCGTGGAGCAGATATCATCTATATCGTTCCGTGAAGAGGTCCAACAAAATGCCCACTGTTAATTAGGCCGACTCCCCCAAGAAGACAATTTTTACTGTACATCTTGATGCTACCTTTACTTCTATATCACTGCCCATTACACGAACACGTTCGGAGTCAGTGCTCAAAATTCCTAGTAATTCATGACTCCTCGATGCTTGTACGCCTCCTGATAAATCTCGTTTGGTTGAAATTCCATTAATTTTGCGCCCATTTTTGCTTTCATCAATGAGTTCGTCCGCTCTCCTGCTGATATATGATTCACTTCTCAAGTTTATGGGTAGAGTGCTGACTGGTAAGTGGCTGTCTTGTTTTGAATAAAATTTGACTGACTCCGAAAACCACTTGGATAGATAGCCCTGGCTGAAAGCAACTACCCGAAGATGAGCCAGATTGGCAGGTGCACTACGGCTAGGGATGATAACAA